CCACTGAACCTAATAAGAAATAATGTTCCAATATAACAATTATTAGCAATTATGTTCCACCTCACCCCTAAAGTACAAGCATAAACCAAGGGTAGACTAAAACTGAGCATTTATTTATTAATTTCTCCCACCCCACAATTTTGCTCATATAAGCACAGGGACTTAAATAGAAAAACACTTTGTAGATCACACCTTGAATAACATTGTGCAGGTGAGAGGCATCTGTTCATAACAGAGTATCATGTACATCCCCAGGCAAGGGCTGATATCTGCAGCAATCACTGCTTTATCAGAGATAAAGCAAGCAAAAGCTGCAGACTCCTTCCCTTACTTTTCATAACATGCAGGATTAAAAAGCACATGGGAAGAGCCTTCCTTCAAAAGGGTCTTCATGAGAGGAAACATGTTCTGCAGCACTAGCTTGGAAAGATGGAAGTTGTGGAAGAGTTCAGATCTGTTTGAAAACCTCACTCTTGGAAATCTAGACAGCATTAGCCCAATTGCTTGGGGAAACAGAGTGCCTCCATAACTACTAAAAAAACCTAAATATGAGAAAGGGAAAATATTCAGTAAAATCATGACCTCTTGCATTTGAACACCAGACTTTCCAAGGTGTACCACCATTCATTACATTTTTTCCCACTGCCTTGCCAATTGCCTCAGCATCGCCTGGAAGGGTAGAGGAGTCTGTCTTTCCAGATGTGGACCTCAGAGCTGGGACAGCCAACACTGGGTAATGGCAATTGTCATGGTAGTTTTGTGGCATATTCATCCAGCTGTCACAGCTAGAAAGGAAGCACTGGCAGAGAGGGTTTCTGCCAGCTTCAAGCTGTACATCTGTTCACGCTTGTCTGTTCAGACAACATGGGATGCAATCTCCCCTTCCCCTTGTGCTGGCGTCTGTTTGCTTGTGCTGTATGTCCTCAAAGGCCTTAGATTTCAGAAGCTGGAAATTGAATCTCTGTGGATGAAAATGCCCTTTGTGTATTTTATAAAGAAAAGAAGTAGAGGTGTGCAGTCTTCACTATTAGCACTAAACAATTCCCCTGCAGTTAATGAAAGCTGAAATAAAACTAGCAGTGGTCCATAAAGCTATGAGGAGAAGCAGCTTGTGGTACTCCTCAGCATGTGCAGCAGGACTGGGAGATTCTAGAGCTGATGGAAGCTAATTCTGATTCAAATGGGACAAATTACAGCTAATCAAAATTATCTGCTAGGACAGGGATGGATGATTATGTAAGTGAGGAATTTAAAAGCCTGCTGGATCACTGTAATGGCATATTTTAAGTACTCATAGGACTCTCATCATCTACTACAGCCACAATAATGAGGATTTATTTAGAACAAACCATCAGAGAACAAACTAGCAAAATACTTCACCATTAAATAACCCCTCAACCCTATCTCTGCAGTTTTCACACTAAAAAAACCTAAAAATATATTTAAAATGTTATGTATACAGTTGCAGACTCAGAACACTGAGTTTACAACAGACTCTTCAGATTTTAACAAGTCTCAAAATGGCTCTGCATGACCTTTGAAATAACAGGAACACTGACAGTTGGGGAACACAATCCCAGGATTATGGGCTAGTTAGTAAGCTTTACAGAGTGAAAGATTATAATCAAGGCTTGAAAAAAACACCAGCAATCATTTCACCACTAAAATGGACATGAAATCAGCTTTTGCCTCCCTGCATCACTCTCAGGCAGTTCCAAATGAACACTTTTTACTCACTCCCACGGTTTTACATGTAATAAAGGTAGAGAGGAGGAATATATGACCTTTGAAATTGATCTCAAGGAGGTCTCTCTTTCTTTTTTCCTCTTCAAGCCAAGCCAGTGTAACTCTACACAGCCTCAACTCAGCAGAAAGAGCAACAAAAAGATGAAGAAGCTCATTGCTTAGAAGAGGTTCACACCTCTTCATTCATTTTACTCTATTATGTAACCAGCTGGCCAATCAAAGAAAAAAATACTGCTATAATTCCCTTTTAAAATGTGTTTCTCTCCATGATCCTGCATTAAAATAGACAACATTCTGTAGCTAACAAAAGAAGACTGGAAAACTTGGGCCTGCTGCTGAATGAGGTGGGGGACCTCATTACATAGAACATGGAAAAGGCTGAATTACTGAATACCAGCTTTGCCTCAGTGTACCCATATTTCAATTCTCTGAATTTCAGCTTAAATTAAAGGAAAGACAAGCACAAAGAAACTTTTATCTGATCAGGTTAAAAGTTCAAGATTTTAGTCATCCCCACCTAGGGCTCATTTTTCCCCTACAAAAATACTTAAGATACTCAAATTTAGAATTTTTGTATCATGTTCAGGGCTTACATAATCACATCCACAGACTCACATAAAACTGTCAGAGTTACAGAGAAGGTTAACACCACTTTTTGAAAATTATATCCCTGACTGCAGAGGAAGAAGAGTTTCTACCAATATAACGAGTAATAAGATTAACATCTTTGTGGCTGTGTCTACCACCTGAAATAAAAAATGGTGCATGTTTATCCAAAGCAACAAAAAAGGGAAAGTTGTTCCATCCTTCAAGCCAACACTGACAACATGATATTGTTGTCTTGCACTATCATTCCTACATATGTGTGAAAAAGTCCTACAGTATGGATACTGCCACACCCTACCCTACAGACTTATTCAATTCCACTGTTGCATAGGTGTTCTGTAAAAATAATTTTTAGAGCTGCTAGTCCTCCCAGGCAGCAGTATTTTAATTTCCAATAGTCCCATGATGCACTGAGGAGTTATGGCACTGTCTTCTAAGATGACCAAAAGTTACAGAACCAGATAAACAGATGAATCCATGTTGATAGATGGAAAAGCAACTTGGAGAAACAAAGAGACTAAATCATACTGTATATCAAATAAACACCAAAAAGATACTAAGTATGTTCTGAGAGAGATCAGATGCAAAATGCCTCTGGACTGCTGGTACTGCCAACTTCCAATGTTCATCCACTGCCAGTGACAGTTGTGAGGCTACCATTAACCCAATCCAGGTTCCTTCTCAGGCACTGGCTGATTGCTGGTAACAGTCACTGGAACACGAGACTTCTGTATCACAGAAACAAGAAAGCTTGAAGTCTACAAAGTTCAAACTTACTGCCATTAACTGCTTGGATTTAAAATACTTAATATCTTTATCCGAACACAGCACAAACAGTTTTTATCAGCCTCTTTTCCTCACTGGTTTTATGAGAATTCTATAAGCTCTAAGTTGCAAAATGAGATGTACAAACAAAATAGTTAAATAATTAGATAAGTTCTTACTTTGAAAGCACAGAACAACCCAAATTCAAACATTAATTGCTGCAGATGAACAAGGTTGTAATGATCTTACCCTTTTCATTAAAACCTCCTTATATCAGATGTTTCCACCACCTGCAAAACTGCCAAATGCCAGACCAGACAGCCACCCTTGCCTATGCAGAGAGCACTCACATCCACACAGCATCAAACAGAACAGACAGCTACAACAAAGAACAAACTATTTTATTTTTCTTGCTAGATAAGAACATCCCACTGAAAATAAAGAATAAAAAATATATTCTGTTGTAAGACTCTGAATGCTTGAAACTCACACAACAGCACACAAAGAAATTCTGGTACAACAACATCACAGTTATCTTTGTGCACATGGGTACACAGAAAGCCTTGAACAAATATTTATACCCATAATAGTGCCATGTACAAAAGACCAAACAGAAAATTCAAACATCTTTGTTTTTCTTATGCCAAGGGCAATGTAAAAAATGAAAACTGCTTTCAGTCAATTACTTCCATTTAAATTGTATGGGATCTTTTTATGCTGAAGAACCCAAATTCAGCATAATATAGCATAGAAGAAGTAGTATACAATTATATATATGTATAAACAATATACTAAACACATGGGGCATGATGTTTTCATTACTATATAATTTTTGGTGGAACCATATTGAAGTGAAGTGAGTATTTTTCTAACACCAAGAGAAAATTCTCTGTTTCTTCCATCAATGCTCTGACATTTTCTCACTATAAACAGCATGCCTGTATTGTATCATCTAAGCATACATGCACCACAAAAGATATGCAAAACAAATTGATACAGATAAAATTTAGTGTCAAATGTCTAATGATGTAATAACAAAAACAATTCTCAGGCCCCAAATGACTTTCTGAATTGAAATTGCATTGCAGTCACTTAAAATAACAAAATACTTGGACTTGTGAGTCACAAAATTCACTGTTTTCTAGCAGTACCTCTGCTGAAATGTGATGAGTATCAGTCTATTGGTAAAGAAAGTAATTTTCAAAAAAGGAATTTGTAAAAAATACATTTATACTATATGCTTTCATATAAAAAGGCATTAAGAAATATAATAAATCCTACCATTTTAGGACTACACCTTCCCTAACAATTTTATCACTTGACTATTACATACAGTACATTCAGTTTCCTAAACAGAAAGTATATTTTCTTGTCCCTGATGTATTTTACAACTGGCAGTGACAACAAACCGTTTTATTATCACCACTCATTCTTGCAGCTTATACAAACAGCACCAATTTTACCCAAAAAAAGGTTTATCAGTTACATAGTAGCACTTCCTCACAGGAAATATAAACCCGAAACATTGGAACCAAATGTGTCTTTCCAAATACATATCAGAATATATGGCTCAGAGTTAAGGGATGAATAACCAGGATTATTGCATAGTACAGGGATCTTGCCTGTATGAATAAAAACACCTTTTGATTGTTTGTCACCTTCTGACTCCAAGAACAAATTAAACAGGTGCTAATGGAAGTAATACACAACTAAATTTACTGGTAAAAACCAAGAAATTGTACAGTTCTCTCTGGCACAGTGCAAAGAACACATTAAAAAACTGAAAATATATGTACAGTGTGTACGTATATTTTTATATAGTATGTATTTCCCTGACACATACACGTGTACATATAAAAATCATGAACACATCCATGCCAAACTTAGCAAAAAGATGGAATGTTTAATATGTGGGTGCATTGTTCCAGTGAAATCAGTCTGTCTCAGAAGTGGCTGTTTATACAGCCAGTATGACCTTCCATGAAACAGAAATATTTACTGCCTGCCTAAACTGACAATATATGATACATTTGTCCTCATAACTTCCCAAAGGACTGATAATCACACTTTATAAAAGCTTATATTTGTATTCAGCCCTCTCTTCCATTACCCTTCCTCTCTTCTGAAAGACCAGAATATTCACTACAGAGATGAAATCTTCTATTTTAAGATTTTCTTGCAATATAAAAGTTTACAGCCGCCCCTGTAAAAATTATTAACACCTGATGCTGGTTTAATTTCTTATTTCCCTTTGGGATTCAGCTGTTTTGGTTCTGGATATGAACACATTGGCTGAAGCCTGTAACACAGAACACAATTTCCAGGATTTGGAGAGCATTGTTACCAGACCTGCCCACACCCAGTATGATCAACTGTCCTTCCCTGCCAACTTGCTGTGAAAGATTTTGCAAAAATACTAGAATGTAATACAAATCCCTCCCCCCTTTATCCTGAATGTCTCTTTTACAATTCGAGGCCACTTTCAAAAAATAAAGGTTTCTATCAGCAGAAGCATTTCAAATCAAGCGCTGGCTGTGAACCTGAGAGCTTGGTGTGATCCCAACTCACGTTTGTGGTATCCCCACTGGCTAGAACTTTCCTTGTTTAAGTCGTTCAATGTGGTAGCACAACTTTAGGGCAGGCCCCAGCTTCAGTCCCATATATTTCATTATCATATCACTCCTCAGTAAAAGTAGTGCCTTCCCATCAATTTCCTGCAGAAGGAAGAGAATAAACACAACAGATAACTACTTTAACTATCTGCATGGTAAAGTGGGAAAGTACATTATAGTTGTTTATACTGTAGTAAAAATATATCTACTATATATAAACTGTGAGTTTGAATTTACAGATGACCACTGAAATTTAATTTGTTTTAGTATTTTTTAATGTGTGATTAAATATTTGAGATGTTAAAGAAAGAAAATTATAGTAAATAAAGAAACTGACCAAAGAGCCCTCAGAATTAGGGTTTCCAACCAGGAAAAAAAGTGAATGGGTCAAGGGAAAAAATAAAAAGAAGCCGCAAAGGAAGGTCTGTGCAGTTAGAGATTAAATGATCCAAGGACTGAGGCCTTGCACTGAACCTTGAAAACAGCTGTGGAAGGATTTTGGCATGCATGTGCAAATGGTCACATGGAGGAAAGGACTACAGACCATCTAAATATGGGAAATTAGATCTATTTCCATGTTGAACCAAAGAGATTGTCAGGATCAAGACCAAGGACAACTAGTCAGATTTCAATTGTCTGACTGAGAAGCTGCTGAAATATGACAGTCCTAAGCTCTTAGTACCATTACATACCACAAACAGGCAATTAGTTCCATAAAGCACCATAAAGAGAAACACTCTCTCTTACCTTTTTAAACATAAAGCTGACAAAACAAGTGACACTTACTGTTGTTATACAACTAAGAGTAAAATATAAGACAAGAATCTATATCGGAAGTTATTTTGATTTTTCCTTCCAATCCAGCTTACTCAGAGATTAAACTGTTAGGAGGAGCTGGAGCATAACATGGGTGAAATACTATTAAATAGAAAGCCAATCTCTTTTTGGAGGGTCATATACGCAATAAAATAAGAAAGCAGCTCTTTACTGAGCAACCTACTAGAGAATGGCACAGCAAGAAGAAACAGGGGAGATCAAACCTACCACAAACTGATTCAGTTTCTGTCTCTAAAGATAACATCTAGTCAGACCTATAAAACTCTAGACACTGTTTTCTCAAACAGATTAATTAAATATTTCAGTTCTCTGAATTTTAGTATCAATGACCAAGTGCCTAGCTAATGATGGGTAACATCATCTCTGCTCTAGCAGATTAAATCTCCAAAACAGGGGGACCGAACACCCTGCAGTGTAGATGAGAATGCCATTGTCTCTAGAGCACCAGGGAGGACAGGGGTACTGTGGATGTTGGCCATTAGAACTTGTGCACTTCCAGGTTGGCATTTTTCCACATAAAATGGAGAGAGGTGTCTATTTATGTTAGTCTAGCAAGACTGAAAGACAGAAAGAAGTACTGCAAGAGGGGTGTCAGGTAGAAAAGTAATTTTCTACCTAATATATCAGGAGAGTCTACTCCACCTCCAGCTGTGAACAGACTGATAGACATGAAAGTTGTCTTTTAAGAGATAAACATGATACAATCTACTAGAACAGAATGAACAAGCATCATACATGTCTCCTGAAGAGTTCTGCATGTGGAGCCAGTGCCCGTGGATCAGCTTCTTTCACAAAACGCACTACTTCCTCTATTGACCAAGTGGAAGGATCCTTATTCAATATTCTTGAAGGTTCCCTTTTTAGTGAATTCAAATCCGGTCCAGTTGTAGAACTTGCAGCTTTTAATACAAAAATATTGTGAAAGGAAGAAGTGTCACAAGTTTGTACAGCGATAACAGATTTCATTTCACGTAAGACACTTTAATATTACTGTATGGCATTTATTATGCATTGTTTGCAATATATTAAAATGAAAAGATGCTTTATTTTCCTTCTAATAATACTGAACTGTTCCTTTTGTCTTTAAATGACTTCTATAACTGCAAATACTTACAGCAGCACAAACATTAGTACTGTGGCATACCTAGAGGGATTAGTTTTACTTGTACTTGGCTCCTGGATCCCAAGATGCTATTAACTGGGAATGAGGCAAACGCAAGTGAAGCTGTGCAGACAGAGGGAGACAGTAGGAAACCCTATCCCTGTATTTCAGCAGCATGGCAATATTTGATAAGATGCTCAGGAAGTGAGCTGCATATAGCTATCTCTGTCTGCTCTGGCTTGCTGCAGGGTCCATCACAGCAGCAAGAAGAAGCTGCAGCAGCAAAGACCTTCCCTGGCTTGCACTACACTATTAATACTAACAGGCTTAAGTTCTGCATTTGCAGTTACACTAGCAAGCCTGACATGCTTGGCAACAGCACATTTCATTCCATATGCAAGCTCTCCAATGGCAAAGAACTTCTTTATTCATAACTTTGCATGCTAATTGAAGCAGTTACATATTCTGGAAGGTTTTGTGTAACAGCATACCTTCAATCCGCCTCTGTAGCCGATTTCTACTGACTTCATAGTAGCCACTGCTCCCAGGCGAGCTCAGGGACAGCCTGTGCAGGACTGGGGCTGAATTTGAGGTAGCACTTGCTGGCTGATGGGAATTTCTGTAATACGCGGCATTTCCCGAAGCGCGGTACTCCGTGGAACTGCGGCAGGCTGGCTTTGATGGATTTACAGAATTAAGTGCAGAATCCATAGAACCCTCAGAAAATCGGTGTTCTTTGGAAGTGCTGTTTTCCTCTATAGGCAATGTTTCTGCTACACAAAAGCAAGCAACAATATGTTCAAAGTGACGGAATTTACACCTTTGTTACTTAAGGCCTTGCTATGTTCTCTTGACGGTATTGACAGATTGTAATCCTTTTGAAAATCTCTTGTGAGACAATCACTGAGACTGAATGTTTGTCCCTTTTTCTCAACTCATCACTGAGCTCTTATTGTATTTTCAAATATTATTTTTGTAGCAAAAGATTTAATATGTCAAGTTTGAGACATTCTTCCATTAATCATTTCAATTGTACTTACTGAAAGCTATGAGCAGGGAAATGACAGAGGATTTTTTTTTAATAAAATTGTCTGCTGTAAATATTGATACATCAAATAATTTTAGTCAAGAATTTTCACTGCTTTTTAAACACACCATTAAAAAGCCAACCATTAATACTATGTAGCATTTATTCTGCAAGACATTTTTAATACAAAAAAACCCCTCATGTTAACTAACAATTGTTTAGTAAGTTCTAAACAACAGAGAGAGTTACCAACTTCATAAAGAAAACAAGGGGACAATTGCTATCTATGGACCCCAACAGGTTCAGACAGAAGATCCATTATTAAAAAGGGAAGAATTTACAGACAAAGCCACAGAAGGCTGTGAGTGCCTGGCATGGCACACTAATGTAACAATGTTTTGACCACCCTGCTTTATCTACACACCGTTCTTTGCATAGGGCAGGGTTTCAAGGTCTCTAACTGCAGACTCTGGAAAGCTAAAGATATAGGTAAATTACTGGACCTATGAGCAAGTTAAAAAAAAAAAAAAAGTGAAGTCTCAGGAGAGGAGTAAAACAATATTCTAGTTCTTATGTCTTTGCAGCAAATTTATACTCTACAAAAGAAAAACAATATGCACTCAGAAGACTTGTGAACTTTTAAAGTCTCTCAATACTGATTCAAAGCCACGTGAGTGGAGTTCAGCATGTCCCTTTCTCTGGGCCATGAGACAGGTTTGCTTGATTAATGAAAATTCTACTACCATTCAGCCCAATTCGAGTCTGTTTGAGAGAAGCATGCTACGTGAGGAAAAAACAAAAGCCAAATCAACAGGAACACTAATCTGTTCTCTAGCAATCACAGACATTCCCCTCCGTTTGCATCAGACCAGTATCTAGCACAAGAAAGAAGTTGGAAGCTTGATGCACAAATCTGTATGGAACAAATGCTGCTTTGGCAGGAGAGTCAAGAGCTGGAAAAATATAGCTAACAGGTTCACAGAAGTGTAAGCCCCACACTACCATCTTGAAAATAACGCTACTGAAGTTATAAAACATATGCTATTGAGGCAGCATATTCTTTGGAATAAGAACTGATATGTTCTGCAAACCAAGTTCCTGAAACAAGCTTTTTACTACCCTTCTTATATGAAAACTTTCAAGAATTTATTGGGCAAATGCCCAATTAAAACCAAAGGAAGAGTATTTTCCTAAAAAACGCAGTGACCTTCTCAAGCATACTTTCAACTTGCTTGAGGTTCTCTTCTGAACCTCTTGCTTGAGGTTCTTCTCTCAGGTTCTCTTTCTGAATCCTGTTTAAAGTGTAGTACAGTGAGGAACTGTTACATGTATTTTGACCTTCAAACAGCATAACCCTGAAAGGGATTTAAAGGCTCTCACAGAGCCAGCTCCCTACAGAGTGAGTTCAGTAAGGCAGAACCATAGAATCACAGAATGGAACCACAGAATCCTTTCAGCTGGAAAAAGCCACGATGACCATTGTTAACCCAGTACCACTGTGTTCACCACTGAGCCACATCTACATGACTTTAAACTCCAGGGATGGTGACTCAGCCCTGGGCAGCCTGTTCCAATGCTTGACAAGGCTTTAGCAAAGAAACTTTTCCTAATACCCAATTTGAAGTTCTTCATGTGCAACTTGAGGCTATTTCCTCTTGTCTTATCACTTGGGAGAAGATATAAATTCCCACCTCCCAATAACCTTTCACATAACTGTAGAGCACAGTAAGGTGAATGGAGGTGAGCACTTCCACCATCTCCCTCAGTACTCCTGGGCAGATTCTATATGGTCCTAGAGACTTGTGCACAAGTGGTGACCATTTTCCCTTGGATTGCTGGGGCTTCAATCTGCCTCCTGTCCCTACCCTCCAGTTCAGGATGCTGGGTACATGGAGAACAACTGATCTTAGTACTGAAGACAGAAGAAAAGGAGGCATAAAGTACTTCAAACAGCCTTCCTAAAATGTCATCACTTTGTTCCCCCCCACATCCAATAAAAGCTTGAGATTCTCCTTAGCCCTCCCCGACTGCTGAGAAAAATGAGACAAAAATTTTCTTGTCTTTTATGGCAGTAGTAGATTAAGTTCTATTTGGGCTTTAACCTTTCTAATTTTTGCCCCAAATAACCTAATAGCATCCTTGTAGTCCTTCTCATTTTCCTGCCCCTTCTTCCAAACTCCTTTTTTTTCCTGAGTTCCAGCCAAACTTTTCTGTTCAGCCAGGACAGTCTTCTTCCATGCAAGCTTGTCTTTCAGCATGTGAGGACAGCCTGATCCTGCATCTTCATGTCCAGCCTTCCTGGACTCCTTATCTGCAAGGTGATGTGACATCTTTTACTAAATTTGATAGTCACGGAATAAATAAGCTTTTGTAGGTACAAGTCCTTCCCTTTCATACAAGTAACTTTCAAAATAACTGCTGCAAAACTTTCTAGTTTGTCAGACCTGAGTCACAAAAACAAAGAAGAAGCTACTGAGGTATTTGAAGAAAACAATCAAGAAAATAAAAGCCTTTATACTTCTCAGAAGTACTTACAGCAACTTACCAAGATTAAAAACAAAAGGTATCATTCCACAGAATTTCAGAGAGACTTTAAGAGATTAAGTCAACGATCCACACTATAAAATTAGAAAGCAGCTAACCAAGGGAAAATCAGAGCTGTGTAGAATGAAACGACACCTAAGTCCAAGGCTGAAAGGCAGAGGTAATACTTTAAATTGTTACAGCAAAGATGTATGAAGGAGCATGAGGTCTAACTGACTGAACCTGTACATTCAGATTTCAGAAGTCTTAAAAGGTAGGATGGAACAATGGAGACAACACTCTCCAGCAGAGAGTTTCAACTGGAGTATTACAGCATGTATCAGCCATGTAACATAATAAAAAAAAAACATTTTTAAAGTTTTTATGGTAAACTAGCAGGAACCTGGTAGTAGGTTGGTTTTGGTTTTGTTTGTTTGTTTTTAATAATTGGTTTACATTATCTTTGGCAAGATTTCTGTAGAAAAAAATGTTAAAAATTACTGTATTGCAAAATAACTTAATTGCATTAATTCCAGTCATATCCAAGGTTTGTCTCAGATGTTAAATATCCTGAAGCAAATACCAGGTTTGGGAAAGATTAACTCTGCTTTTTTTCCTCCAAGATATCAGCATTTGAATTTATCTTACTGCAAATTCTAAATTCATATACACAAGGTGGAAACGCTGGCATATTTCCCCTCATTTTTTAGGTAAGGCTTTCTGTTCAGTAGCTATAGTATCCAATCCACTTTCCAATCCAGCCATCCAGCTTCTCTACAAACAAAATGCAGCAAAATTGGCATCTAGGAAATGGAGCATTACAATCCATGGAGCGACACAGTTCCCCTACCTTGGCATTTTGAGCAGCTGTGAATAACAGAGGTATGGAAGGAGATGGGAGGTTCCACTGCAGAATGCCTGACCTCTGGGTAGATTAATGAAAGGCCAGTAAGAGGCCTTAAGTTTCAAATGTAGGGATGAGAGCAGACTGTTTAGGCACTGAAGCCTTAGCAGGAACTGGATGTTTTGTTTTCTTGAGGCTCTTCTGGGAATTAGAAGCCAGTTGTTCTGTCTCATACATAACAAAATGATGTAATTGGACACAGTAGTAGGAACACACTGTTTTCAGGGGAAGGGAGTCTGAGTTATTCCCCACTCCCTCCTTCTTTATCTTTCGTAACTTTAAGAAGAAACTGCTAGTGAGCAAGAAAGGCAGCAAAACCTGCAAAGCATATCCCTGAGCAGATCAGAAGGAAAATGAGCCGTTTGAAAGACTTTCCCACAATTACTCCATTTTGCCTTCAAATGATATTTCAAAACAACTATTTTAAGACAACTGTGTCTCAATGGAACCAGAACTTTTTGGGGGCAGATCTTTCTTGTTAACCAACCCATGACTGACCGCTGCAAAATTGCCTCCAGATTTTCAGCAGAGGACATTGTCCTAATGGGAAACACACAGTGCTAGAGAACACTTTGCCTGTTAAAATAGACAGAGTACAAATTCAAACCTCTGAAACTATGGAAAAACACTTACTTTAATTACTTTCTATTCAAGTAACTGCATTTTACAATGAATAGTGATCTTAAAAAGTACTTTAAAGGGTACCCTAACTCCATCTGTAGAAGATCCACTAGCAAACAAGGAATAAAAAGCAGTATGTGCACTCATGTTTACTTGAGTAAGATTTCTTACAACATACTGCAGATCTACTTAAACATTTGTTTTGCTCCAAATGAAACAACTTCATTTGAGTGTTAAGTGCTCCACACTTATTATGTTAGTACCAGAAATATAACTTAGATATCTAATGTATCTCTAGAATTAAACCAGAGCTTCTTTTGTGAAGACACAGAAGCCAATAATCAATGCAGAACTGTGTACAATAACAGCTACTGGAAATATAAAGATGAGACTTTGTTATATATACACCAAATAATAAGACATATAATTTAAAATAAGTTATCATTTGGAACATTTTAATTTTACATCCTTTTCTGCTTTAACTGTAATCTTTTGGCTTTTTAATATGCACAGAAGAGATATCCTGCCTCCACTCATGGTAACAGAGACAAAATAATTTCAAGGTCACAAACAAAAAGAAAGAAAAAAGGAGGAAAAAATTACTAATCCCCATTATACTTCAAAAAAGCCCCTGGAAATGATGTGCAGGTATCTTGCTGCAAGAGAAAGTATGTATCAGATGGGATAAGTCAGTATCATCAACTTACCATGTCTTAACCAGTTAAACAGCAAATACTCAACCATTTTGCTGCGTCTCTCTCACTGACATTTAAACCTAGATGTTTTACTTCACATCTGAGGCAGACTAAGACTAGACATGTGCTCAGTTACTGCAGCTGAGCTGCAGCACAGGAAGAAGTGTTATTTTATCTGTGAACTACACCAAGCTAAGAGTGAGCTGTCACAGGGGGGGCACACTGCCCCCTGGCCATGGCTGCTTTCCACTCAGCCCTTCCCTGTGCTCATCCAAGTCCACAGAAAGTCACTCCAGAGAAGTAAAACAAGACTCTTCACCAGAATTTTTTCTGTGATTTTGTTCACTGCTTCAGCTCACTACCCAGCAGGGAAAGGGAGGAGGGAGTGGGCTAGGACTCAGTGCAGGGACAAGGAGGCAAGGAAGCAGGAGCAGCACAACTTCCACTGGCAGCTAGCTAGCCATAAACTCAGCTGAATTGTATCATCAAGGTGCACCCTTACTCACTTAATGAACCCAACCTGGAGTAAAGAGTTGCCTCCAATTTATCTCCTAAACCATTTCAAGGCAATTGCTTTTCTGCTCAGTAGCCCTACATGGAGCAGGAGGCTTCATCTGTCACCTGAGTGCCTGAGCCTCTTCACAGAAAAGGCTGTGGGTTTAGGTGAAGCACTGCTGGAACTTGCAGTAGATCTTCCTTAAGTGCAAAATCTGTGCCAGTGATCAATAATTAACATACCTCCACCCTGACCTGTCAAAGGCTAGAGACAAACCAGATACATATGTTGTACTCAGTCCTTTTTGACTGGAAATACTGAAACCATAAATAATCCTCATATATAATTCTGACATAATGTAATTACCTTCAGATGGATGAGCATCGTTTCTGGGAAGCTTGGGGGAAAGAGGAGCAGTGTATGGTGGAGAGTCCTGAGGGTATCGTTTAGCACTTCTGTTTTCAGGTATTTCTTCTTTGGCTGTGAAGAGGAAAAGTCACTACCTGTTACTCTAGCATAAAGCTGCTCATGGGCTAAGTCCAGAGACAGAAGCACAAACAGACATCAGCCATTCACCAGGTTAGAGTTCCATTTCTTGTGTCACACAGACTCGGTCACCTCAATACAAAATTTCAAAGCTGAATAACCTCAATCCTGTCTACCTTCCTGAACAGTTAAAACAAATAACTTTCATACAATAGATAGAATTATAAACATAATTTCTGCATTGGAAAGAGGAAAAGCATTTTCTACAGCAGCACCCAGAATACAGACTCAGCTATCAAAGAGCTCTGAGGAAGCTTCATTGCCAATATAAAACTTGTGAAACTGTCTTGATAACAAAGGTATCTTAGCTGTGACTCCTGGCTTTACTTGGGACTTGTAATACCAGGTCCTACAAACCTGTTGGGAGATCTTGGGCAAGTAATTGCATCTCTCCTTCACTCTACATTCCTGGTGCAGTAAAGGTATTGGACTCACACAAAATTTCACAAGCAGCCAATTTCACAAGTTTTTCTACTAGATCACTGGACTGTACATAGTAGAAGATAAAAATTTTTGAGCACCCCTAAGTAAGGTAAAAAGAGAAAGAAAAGACTTAATACTTGTGTTGAACTCCCTTTCAGGGAAAGTGCCTTCTCACACAGAGCAAGCATCTTTTGGTAAATTTAATTTATGAACTGAACATAAATTTAACAAGTGAAATGTGAAGTTTTGAGCTTGTCTTTTTAGCAGTATCACAGTGGTTAAGTACATATGTTTTCTGACTTGCCTACAAGGAGAAGTTTGCTGAAGAAAATTATTTCTGCACATGTGGTATGACCTATCCATTACTGTCAAAGCACTTCCCCACTGGAACCACTTCACTAAGAACTGAAGTGTATTAATTTCAAACAATTCATGTCACAGAAAGACTGAAAAGTTGCATCTCCTCAAGTCCCCACATTTCTCAGAAATATCAGCACTTGAAAATAACAAGTGATTAACAGTACCTGGCTTACTCCTATCGTACTCCATAGGACTGTGTGCACATCCCATGTAAGGGCTGAAAGGCTGGCTACTGAAGAGATTATCACACTGCAGACTGTGGCAGAGCTTCTCCAAGAAGCGCAGGACAAACGATGCACTGTTTACAGAAGGAAGATTGATGGCATGCTTTTCCCCATCAAAGGAAGCTGTGAATAAGAAGATTATGTCAAACACCCCCCAAGCATCATGAAGTATAGTAAAACACCATCATTAACTTAAAGGAGAAGACATCCAGATTTGATTTAAACCATGCAAGACATGAGAGGAGTAAACAATCATTCTGATAGTTCAAAAAATTTATATCCAAAGGACTGATTTCACTTTCCATGGGATCCATGTCAATTTAAATTTGCTCTATGGGAACTTATTTTAATGAAATAATTTTGGATTCACACCAGTATAACAAAACTTAAAACTCCCTCAACACTGAAACTTTATGTGGAATTTCCATCCCTTATAAAGCAGCAAGCTCTCCACCACCTATTTACAGGAGATAGCACAAGAAAAACCCTTTACAATACTTGCTAAAAAAATACCCCACAATCCTCCAAAAAATCAACAAAAAGCCCAAACAGTTATTTAAAAAAAACAAACAAACAACGAAAAGCCAAAAAAACCCTAAAGAAATGAAACAAAAAAATTTAGTACTTTTTTTTCTCAGTTGATAACTGAATGGAGAATACTTGTGGTAGGGTGCTGGCATTCATTACCATTGAAATTCTGATTCAGAAATTGTTTTGCCATTTGCTATTTTATCCCTAGAGAAATCTATCCTGCTGTCAACACTACAGTGGTCAAGCACCCATTTATTTCAACAGGAGTTAGGTGGCAGAGATACCACAGCAGCCACAAATGGATCTGTTGTCTTTTAAACTGAGTGATTACAAAAAGCCTGGACATGTGCCTGTGTCTTTTCCTTGTTGATCTCTTTCCTTGCCCTCAAACAGTGAGACAGCTGAGGATATTTTTCTTTTTTGTGAAAATTAGTAAGGTTTGGAAAAGAATCAATACTACAGATACATGGATAAATAATTACCATTACATCAGCTGAATCTTTTAGTTACTTGTGATTAGGAAGGCTTTAGAACAAAGCAGGAACAAACTTGCAACTTAAGCTTAGGGCTGAAAAAAAGTGGCATAAACACCAGGTTTATGCATTGATTTGTCTTTTTTGTTTTCAGCCTGTCATGCAGCTTTCTGTTGTTAACATAAGTTTCCAAATGATAAGCAGAGCTTTAAAGGATCACATTTTGTTGGTAGCAGATGCTTAGGAAAAAAAAAAAAAGGCAAAGAAAAAAAAAGCCAGAAATTATAAGAAAGCCTTTACTCACAGATCTGAATTCAAGAATATTTCCATATTGTGTTACAAAAGAGACAGATAATATACACAAAACCAAAGAAAATGCCTAAGTCTAGCATATTTTAGGCTTCCTTATGAAATCTGAAGTGTCAATTACTTACACTGCTGATGTAAGGAAGCTTCTGATTAACGTGAATTAACCAGCCAGCATCAACAACAATGTGCTGCCTCTCCCATCTGCTTTCATGACAGACTGACCAGTGCAGGTGCTTGAAGTTTAAGAGTCAGTACCACAACACTGAAGTGTTCCCATGGCCTATTAGGTTTATTCCAGGCTCCAATGTCCAAATGAAATGCTAATGATTAACAGTCCCACATGTAGCTCAGACACAAGGTCCTGTACATCCTGTTTGGGGAAGGAGTCTCCAAAGGCAAATTTTTGCTTGGAACTTAACCAGTTCTGGAGAGCAAATGGGCTGTGAGACTTACCATAGCTTGACCTCCTGACAAATTTACTGCAAGACAGTAGTCAGCTACAGGAGAAATTTAAACTCTGTAATACACTTGTGGATCTTCCTATACGGCCTTTGGGGAAATGACTTATTCTATACCCCTTAATTTCTCATTTGGAAAAGAAAACATTGAAAAGAACAATGTTACTCAGGAGTTGTCAAGAGGATAAAGCAAGAAACAGCTGAGGTGCTGGTGACTGCCCCAGCAAAACATTCCATGAGAAAAATCCACAAATAAAGAGTCAGTGCAAACACAGCTCCCCCAGACTCTTAACACCTGAGGGCACCCATACAAACTCCAACCAAGGGTGTGGGATCCAGATCCACAGGCTCAACTGTCTCCTCTGCTTGGGAAAAACACAAGCATCTTCCCAGATAAATGCTAGGGGAAAAAAATAAAAAGGAGTACCACTGAGGCGCAATAACCTCAATTTTAATGATACATAAACAGGGACTGGAGCTTGCATGTGCAACCCCAGCCCTCAGGATAAAGAGTAATACTCATTTCTTCACCTTCCATTCTTTAAGTATGTTTTACATACCAGGTTCAAGCTGGGAAAAAGACTGAGAACGAAACAATCAGAGAAATGTGATTTTCTGATACTGATGACACTCATCCTAGAGTCTGATTTTAATTCACTGCTTGAGAGAATTTATCTGAGCCTCAATCTTTTTCATCCCACCAAACATCATAGTCTCTGTGCTACAAAGCGAAAAAAGGGGCTGATACCACTACCATTAATTGGCTTGCAAATCAAGTCTTTAATTTCCTTTCTGTTTTATTTGTCTAAATTGAAAGCTTATGCATTAAGCAAAATTTGTGCTTTTTTTAAAGTTTGTGCTTTTGTTTGAGAAAGAAAAGATTGAAAAATCCTAAATTTAATGTTATTCAGAACAATTCTTTTCTTTGGTATCTGAACCAAAAGAAAGCACTAATTATTCCATGTATTCTAGTAAGATTATTTTATCAATGTCCTCATCAGCAGACAGTTTCCTCCTATGGCAGGTACAATACTTTCTATAAAAGCATCAGTCCACAAATGACTTAAGATTTCTTTGCTTGCTCTCTGCCACAGCATTTTTTTTTCTTGACAGGCTAAAAAAAACCCCCTCATCAAAACCTGAGCAACAAGCCACTCTCCAAACTTTAAAACAAAAGTTTGTTTTGTTTTAAAGGCTACAATTGTATTTCCTTATTTTATTCTACTGTTGCTTCCCTCTTCTTCCTTACTATTCACGTGCACAGCTAGATGTAATGTGCTACATTAATTTAAGTCATATTTTATGCTTCACAAAACTTATCACACACAAATTTTTGATAAAATGCCAGGGAGTGTTTGCTCAGCCACTTCTCAGCTACCTGTTTGACAAGCCAAGGAGAAGCAAGAGCTCAAGAACACTAGAAACCCACTGGGGCCTTGTGGTTTACTATCAGCTAGAGCAGAATTGCTTCCAGAGCAGTCCACATCGCCAGGTTCCTCAAATCCAGAATAAGGCCTTGGGGTGAAGCCAGGTGCACAGCAGTAAATCCTTTCTGTACAGAATTTTTGAATGCAAACAAGCCACAACTACATAAGGAATCTGAAATTTCTCTCTCCTGTTTGAAATTATTATTTTCAATTACTCAGTCACAGCTCAGAGATGCCACTGGCCTGTGATTTTGCCCTTGATGATAAACAATCACAAACAGAATACTGGCAGTGAACATCTCAGGGCATTATGCTCCAGAAAATTGACTTGCCTGAAATAGGTACAGCAACAAATGTTCATATATATTGAAAAAATAAGGCAGTACCAGTTTCAAAACCACATATATATGATGCCATTAAACCTCTACTACACAGCAGAGAAGCAGCACCCATTTTGTGCACAAACTCAGGGGGATGCCTGAGCAAGGCTCACTGTAGTTCTGCCATACACAGGTTGGCATGCTGCTCTGTAAATACAGTTAGACAGCAACATCTTTATGAGTACTTAACTGAACCTCTATTCCACTAATCATCTTTCACATCTGGTGTTAATGTAAAGAGATTAAAGTAATGCCAGGTCTTTTACCACCACTGATGGAATTATGAATTGATGTGCTAACTGTTATAGATAGAATACTTCCTAGCCTAGAAGGAAAAAATGTCAAGCAGCAGCTATTCAGACTGAGACACAGAGATAATTTATCTACAGAACTGCCATCAATATGTAATAGAAATAAACCTATTCCATAACAGGTGACATTGGTGGATGAGGAGTGACCTAAGATACTGCTGCAGCTCTGGGGAATGGGACAAGGGAAGCAGCAGCAACTTTGACATGTGGAATCACTTGCCTGGAAGCTAAACAGATTAGTTTGAGACTTGTCACCCACTTGGTTAATGCTTTAAGAACACAAACGCTGTGCATGGATAAGATTATGCGAATGAGTTGAACTAATAAAGCTGATTATTTCACTTGTAGTGAGTTTATTTCACAAATGTTTGGCTACAGCTGCTAAATGAGGTACACAAGCTCTACTTAGTGTAAGAAACTAACTGTATTGTGCATTTCTAATTTAAACACTGCTACTGCTATATTTTAATTTAAATTTAAAGAATTGTTCAAATCACTCTGAACTCAGAGTAAGATAAATCATACATCATCCATGTTCACACAGCTACAAAAGTGATATAAATTCATTTCAGCTACTTCAGTTCTTCTGCCCCACCTCAAGTTCAATAAGTAAACAAACAAAAGAAACAGAGCATCTTCACATACCAGTTATCATTTCCCCTCCATGATGGCCAGATTTCAGAAATCCAAAGACTGTTTTGGCTTGATAGGCACAATCCACACAAGCCTGTACAGCCTGCTGAAGTACCACGTTTACAGGACCTGGTCCAAAATGGTCTGGAAGCTGCTGAACCTTCTTCTTATCCAGGTGAGGCCCAGAATTTCCATGTTTGTTCACATAAACACACACTGAAAAGGTACAAGCCATATTTACTGCCAAGGAACCAAGACACATTTCCAAGTCAGAACTGCAAATTGTCATTTTAGTTTTAATCCTGCAGAAAAGTTACCAGTCAACTCAAGAAGCTGAGCATGCACACATACTTTCAGAGCATGCAGAAAGTGCTCTTCTACCAAGGTTCTCCTGACTGAATCCTAAACTCACTTTTTTTCCTGCTTTCTGAAGCCCTCTTCTATCTCACAAATGTAACAAAGCTAACAGGATCTGTGCTTGTGTTTTGACTAATCTCTGCTCATACACTTGTTCCAGTAAAGTACAAATTACTGGCAGGTACTCCAAACTACTACAAAGCAGGCCTTACCAAGTTACTGCCTAATTTTTTTCCTATTTGAGAAGCTGCAACAAAGAGAACCCTGTGTTATATACCTGCCACTGAGCTCATTCTGAAGCACCCACATGGCACTAACATACACATCACACAGAGTGGCTATCAAACTCCTGCAGCTTCACAAGACCTGAACCACTCACAGGATTTCCACACTGCAATGTGGCCTGTCTGCTAAATAAACACTTCTTTACAAACACTGTAAGGTGGTTTCAAGTGTAGTACAAAACAATCATATAGGACTTTTGTAACTACTTTTTAAAGAGACAATGTGGAACTGTCTTCCAAAACAACTGCCAAGGCAGAAGGACATGGGAAACATGTAAATGATGATTTTTTTTTTTCTTGTTCATCCTGGCTGCCACATGACCATGAATGCACCCAAGACATTATTACAGCTTAATGAAAATATGTGCCTTTGTGGTAATTGAGCAATCTAAACATTCTATTACACAAAGGACTTACATATTTTCTGAACTGTAGTTTGATTTTAGATAAAAACTCTGAGCATTTTAAAATAAAGTATTTCTACAAGAGTTTTAATGATGTAATGTCTTTGTGCATATCTGCTTACTCTCTGATTTCTGTAAATTGAAGGAAACCTATTTGTACAAATAATCAAAGCTACAAATCAACAATAATAGTATGGCATTTTCTGTCTGGGCTCAGCAACAACTGCCTTGCAAAAGGTCTATTTTCCTACAAAAAAGGTACTTGTTTTCCCCTCATCCATGATAGAAACTGGGCGTGAGAAGAGCCTGACAACTTCTATTGTAAAACCAGATTTTGAATGTAAAAAAGCACCCCAAGCAAAAATATGGTAATTTATGGAGTTTTTAGAAAGTTCTGAGATTTTGGCTGACAATATGAATTGTTTCACTATAGGGTTACCAGTTCCTCAATGGGTTAGTTAATTTACTGGCTTATTTCTTTTCTGCCAATCCTTTTCAAGACACATTTCACTATATTTAGAGGCAAAAAAACCCCCCAAACAAACAACCAAACATGAGGAAAGAGGAATGTATTTCCTCTGATTGCCATTACTGGATTTTAACAGAGTTGTTTCTTTTCATGTAAGGCTATATAGAGATAAAATCTCCATTTTGTAACATTACAGTACAGCTTGCATGGAATTAGAATATCATATAGGCTTTTAACTACTCTATTCCCATTTAATACATTAAGGAGTAGGACAGACATGAAAGAACTGTACAGTTTCCTTCTTCACACAGGAACAAACTGCCAGGTCTAGCAGACCTATCAAAAGTCCCAGTGCCCCAGCACTTATTGCTATAATGTGGGCATCAAAATACCAGCTCTGAAAAGTAACTCTGGCTCCTACAAATATCTTTCAAAAATAAGACAGCTGGATAATGATTTACAGTAATAAGCTTGCAGCACATTCTTCATAAAAATGGAGCTGCTTGACATGGAAGCCATTTCACACACTTCTTTGTTTTTTACCTGTGGATATAACTGCTGCAGTTGCACCAGACAAACTGATTCCATCTTTAAGTATCTGTGCAGTGCCGTTTTCCCCCTCAGGAGATGACTGAGGAGAAAGAGATGTAGGAGTCAGTTGTTCTGGCAAGATTTTTTTCTGTTAAGAGAAAAAAAAAAAGGTCAAAATGTTTAATGTTTTTTAAGGTGCACAATTTTCCTGCTATCAGTTACCATCTTAATGAATGTATGTGGTTCCTTATTAGAAAAGTACCACACACAGCAGAGAAGGGAAAGTTCAGGAAAGGAAGACCAGAAACTCTCAGTTTGCAGTTACAGCTACTTTAGTAATGCAGTGGAACACAAATGACTTAGAAAAGAACGCACCTTTGCCTAAAAAGTGGGAAAAGAAGGCGCTTTATATACTACTTCATTACTCTTCTAAAAATCTTAAAAAGAAGTATTCCAGGGTATTTTCCTGCCCATGCCCTTCCAGCTGGGTTTATCATGGCTCAAGTAAGTCAGTTGGGCTGTATATGTACTGCCATAAGTCACATCTAGGTGTCAACATTACAATGCACCTGTATTTTTCCTCAGCTTATTTCAAAGGGCTTGAAATTCTCAAGTAAACACTTCCAGGAATTTTCAGGTGCTTCATGCAAGATATCAAACAAGCATGTAGCTACAATCCAGTCATGCTGGTTGCCAAAACCTTTTCCTTTCCCAAAGCAAACTTATTTGCAGCTTATCATATGACAGATAACCAGAGTTCAGAGCACAGCAATTCAGAGATTGGTCCATGTGCATTATCTTCTCCACCTGAAGAAAAGAGAATCTTGTTGTAATTTGGTTTGGACTGGGGTTTAGAAAAGAAATGTGCACATGGAAGACATTTCACAGAATCACAGAATGTCCTGAGTTGGAAGGGACCCACAAGGATCATTGAGTCCAACTCCTGGCCCTGCACAGGACACCCTAAGAGTCAGACCTGAGAGCATCCAAACACTTCTCAAGCTCTGTCAGACTTGGTGCTGCAACCAGTTCCCTGGGGAGCTGTTCCAGTGGCCAGCCATCCTCTGGGTGAAGAACCTTTTCCTTATATCCAACCTAAACCTTCTCTGACACAACTTCAGGCCATTCCCTTGTGTCCTGTCACTGGTCATCAGAGATGTGTTTTGGCATACTACGAAAATACATCTAAATAAAAGACATAATAAATCAGAGTTCATCACTTTTCCCTTCACCACTTATTCTTGCATAAGAACAGATTACTTTTTGACTCTCTTTCCTACCAAAAATTAGGAATGTAAGAGATTACCCAAGGTCTTGACACTGCTGAACACAGCAGAGACTTGTGGTAATGTGATAAGGATTTACCATTTAAACTGATACATAGTGAAGTAAAACTTCAGTCAATTTGCTAAGGAGGGCTAAGCCCTCTTCCATTTAGCAGTATTCATCCTCTACACTTTTAGCAGCAGCCTATTTTCCAAGTAATGTATTGAAAACCATGTAGAGAGCAATCAGAATATATACCTTCCTAAAAGAAGCAGTGTTTAACTTCACAACACCTAGAAAGAAGAAATTAACTTTCTTCTGAAATCCAGGGCACTTAAAAAAAATTCTGTGCCACTTACAGTTCAGAGAAGATGGGTTTGACTGGGGAAAGTACTTGACAACATGGCACAGGGTGGAATCACCATGAACATAAGGAACAGACTGCCAAGGCTTGGCATTGCATTGTGAATGAGATGAGGTGGCACAGAACCAAGGAGTGATGTACTTGTCAGGAACTGACCATTTATCTTAACACTGGGTGACAGAAAGGTCTCCATCCTAATTACAGAGAAAAAAATACACTTGGGAGGATTGAGGTTTTGATCTGAAGTCCAACATTCCTGAAGGGTCCCTCTAGCAGAGATTCTTGGGGGGGCAGTTTTCTTTTACCACACTACCAAAAATAATGGGTGGTCAAATTGAGGGAAAAGATGAGGAAATGGGGGAAAATGTAGGAATGAAAACAAAATACAAACACTAAACTAAGAGGAACCATCCCTCTCCACACCAATGCACATGAGTGCATGAGTGGTGAGACTCACTGGCTGTTTCCTGTCTTCTCCCTCAGAAGGGAATATAGCACGCGATGCTTGCTCAGCTGAGGCTCTCATTTGGCACCCCCCATGCTGGGCAGCCAGCTGTGAGCCCAGAGCTGTGTTGTTTTGTGAGACAGGCCACAATCCCAGCAGGGCTGGCCACTGTGGCTTTGTCTGGCTGGCCCCTGCCAGCTGGGAGGGAACACCAGCTCTGCCTGCAGAGGGCTCACAGCTCGTACCACCAGGACAAGTTCAGCAGCTTCACCCTCATGCTTAAAAACTCTTTTTGTGGGGTTGAATTTAGAGCTGGTACTCACACTCAGACCAAGAGCTTTCCTCAAGAAATTCTGAAAGGAATTCTTTGTACTGTTATGTAAAGTGTACTTTAAAAATATAATGAAAGAGATGTATGGAAGTTCCTTCTTTATTATGGAAGAGTAAAAACATACAATGCAAGCTGTGAGAAACAAATGAGAAACAAAATCCAACATGCATCTCATACTTACAAAGCTCAGAAAAAATTTAAACAAAGGAGAAAAATGAAGCAACAGCTCAACATTTCTAGCTGTATAATAAAAGTTAGTATCTACAAAATGGTAAATACTGCAGCATAACAAACCTAAAGGGGCAAAGAAATTCAAACAACTCTACAGAGAGACAGGCAGATATCCATGTCCCTAAATACACCAAATAGCCAGCTCACACTTGAAGCACAATCATTTAGTGCAACATCTGGAGAGGGGCTTTTTTTGCATCAATCTGGGGGGGTGGATGGAAGAAAAAAAGCACTTTCAAGCCTCTTGGCACATACCAATTGCATATTTGCATACATACTGTGAGGTGTACAGGCTGTATGGCTGCACTTCATGTCAGACACACCCTGTCTGCAGAACTCCCACAAAGCCCCATTTCCTCTCTTTACCCTTATGCTAACAGGTGTAATAGTCCAAGAAAAAGTTTGCACATATGTATAACATCTTGGCAATTTAATCACTTACCAAAGCAATAATAGCCTTCTGCAAATTCTCAAAAGGAGCTAATTTTTCAAGTTTTTAATGCTGAAGTTAACAAAATAAAAATCCAAATTAGATGTATCAAACCTAGATTTTGCAAAACCCCTCTTGCCTGGTCCCACAGAGGAAATCAGGAGTGCATAGAGATACCTCAGATTTGCTGCCTCAGGACAGGGTATGTCAGCACTAACACCCATTCCCCAAAAAGTACCTCCAAGCACTTCACACAAACCAGGTATCATATGCTCCAAGCAGACACCTTCAGACACCCAGGGACCAGAAGCCTCTTCTAATGGCAAGGTGCCTCCAATTACTGTTTCAAAATATAGATAAAGCCTCTCAAGTTCTTTTTAATGAGAGCTAAAGGAAAAAATTCTTACATGCAAGTGCACATCCTGCCACACCTGAATAAGACCTTAAGATATGAGAGTCCTGTGTCATATCTTTCCTGTGTTCAATCCTTTAAAGCCCTGTCCAGACTTGCAAAGAACACCGCACCCACCAGCTGAGCCTGGATAGGAGCACCTTTCTCCTCTTTAATTTCTGTCACTGTGCATTTTAAAAACCAAGTAAGAGAGAAACAAAACTGTAGACCAATTCCATCAGTAGCCTATCAGTTTGGATGTCTGACTGCAAGGGGCAGGCAGCAGAGAAGAGTGCTCAGCTTTCAATTTATGGTCCCCAAAATTATTTCTTATCTTGTGATCATCATCATGAAGTGCTGCTTCCAGTTTCATACTAGAGCTTCCAGCTATGCTCTAGCAATGTTACTTCACTAACACTGATCAGCACCACCACCAGAAGGGAGAATCCCCACCTTGCACCTTGCCATTACTCCACCTGTTCCATGCATCATTAGGAACAGATCCCACAGCCCACACTGATACAGACTGGAGGAGAAAAGCACCTAAACTTCTACTTTTTGATTCTTGTTTGGAGAAAAGGGGAATGAACACAAAAAAAAAAAAAAAAAAAAAGCGCAAGCCACCAACCCCCCCCAAAAAAAAACCAAACAAACAAACAAAACAAAACAAAACAAAAACACCAGGAAAAAGCACTGCCCCCCACTTCCTCACTAGTGCTAATGCAAAGCAGGAAGGAGCACAAGGACAGACTCAAATTGCCTGAGGAAAGACATTGCAGGATTGCTACTTTTCTTGGACAGCCTGCTGTGCATGAGCAAGCCTCAGAAAATAGACTGTACTTCTATGGCAATTCAAATTGCCCGAAGTCTGCCCTGCTGTGATCCTATTCTTCCTTGCAGCAGCTGTAGAATTTGTGCTTTTTTGGGGTGGAGCAGACAAAGAAGGAAGTAGGAGGGATGGATGCTGTGCTAGCTGTCTACCAGTTGAGCTCCCTGAAGTGGCTCACTTGGAGATTGTTCATGTGCCAGTGCTGCTGTCAGTGGCAGCAGGAAGTGGGGTGAGGGGACAGACAGTGTGTACCTGAGCAGAGCTGCAGTGTGCACCTGAGCTTAGAGCTCCAGCATGTATCTGACCTAAGAGCTGCAGTGTGTACCTGAGCAAAGAGCTGCAGTGTGTGTGTACCTGACCAGAGAGCTCCAGTGTGTGCACCTGAGCAAAGAGCTGCAGTGTGCACCTGACCAAAGAGCTCTACCAGAGCTGAAGATGGAGACAGCTGCCAACACTGCAGATCTGACTCAACTGAGCAGGGAGAAAGGCATCATGCCTTTCAAACCAGGGTAGAATTAGGCCTGCATCTAGAGAAAAAGAAGCTTCCTGCTTCATGCTAGTAGAAGCCCCAGGATTAGGGAGTATCCACAAGATTCATTTGGCAAATCCAGCTGTATGCTTACGAAGCCTAAATTATGCAATAAAGTCCTCACTGTTTTTAATACTTTGTTTCTAAACCTGAAAAAAACCCCAAAAAGGAAAGATATATATAGATATATATATAGATATATATATAGATATATATATATATATATATATATATATGTATACATCTATAGATATATACATATATGGTTCAGTAATAAACTAACCCAAACTAAAAAGCTTAAATGCTTCTCTGTTTCTCTACTTCAGAATAACATTTTTCAACACCAATTACTCACCCATTAATAAAACAGTAATCTTGTTTGGGAATAAAATAATCCACAGGATCTTATACTAAAATATTCCAGAAGAGCTATTCTAAATGTTTTCTTGCAATCAGTTGCTGAAAACAGTAAAGCCCTGAAGGCTGAAGAGAAGATCGAAAATTAAGTAATAAAAAATCTCACTACAAAATTTTGCAATACAAAGTAAAGTAGTAGATAAGGACTAACCTTTTTTCCAGGTTTTAAACTTTTTTTCCTTGTTTTAAGATTTTCAGTATGAGAGGTGCTTTTTGTCAGGGGAATATTTTTAGGAGACCTGCCCTTCTTGGGAACTGCAGACTGTCCAGGGGGTTTGCCCCGACCTGGTTTCCTGCCCCGCTGCGCTGGTACTGGAGCAGATTTCTGTGGAGACTGCATTGAACGCCGGGTCACTTTGGAAGGGGAAGATTGGATTTTTGCACTGCTCTTTGTAATGGAAACTGAGGAAAAACAAAAACAAAAGGGAAGGGGGGGAAAACCTCAAAATGAACAATGGAAAGCAACTTTTCTAACAAAGGCTTAAAAAAATAAAAGTGTACTGCACAATTTACATTGTAAAATGAATATACTTTTTACTTTGAACTTAAGTAGTTGGCATGAAACTACAGAACTTCATTGACGCCAAAGAGAGAACTCTTTGTACCCATTCTTTTACAGGGACTTTCCTAAGAGAAAAACATTCAAATAAAAACTGGGGGAAAAGCCCAAGAATTAATCCACTCACCTTATAAATGCTTCCCATAATTTAATTACAATATTTATAAAGTGCCATTCATCAAGAAGGACTTCAAAAATTAATGAATATACTTTTTACTTTGAACTTAAGTAGTTGGCATGAAACTACAGAACTTCATTGGAAATGGAGTATAGGGGGTGTTAATTCTGGATTTTTGGAATCTCTCTTCTCTGAAAATGTTAGTATGTTGAAGCTTTCTGGTAAGCAAGTAAAACAAAAAATAAAACACAAATATACTTTTGAAATCAGAGATTGAGAAAATAAAATATTTAAAGATTGAGTAACAATTTTAATGTCTACCTCTATGAATCATATTCAATTTAACAGTCCAGCATCTTGCTTTGCAACTGTTCCTTTAACCCTGTATCTTTATTCAGGAGTTAACTGTTATTAAGTATTTGCAATAGAAAATGTCACTATTTTCAAATTCACTAAGATTAAATACACACGGCACACAGACTTATAAAATACAACTACTACTGACACACATTTCTAAGGCAGTAGGAGCATTTACATACATTGCTATTTGCCTGATTCAGTTACTAATCTAATATTCCTTAATGGCAGTTCAGAAGAAATCTCTTCATTATGGCTGGTTGCAATCCTAATACATCAAATGCAGACTGGATATCCCAAGGTATATGAGAAGGACCACCTTCTGGATGTACAAAGTGATCACTTTCCTTTTATTTATGTATGACAAAACGTATTTTCATATGCAATGACAAAATAAGATGAACAGAATTTTAACCAAATGCTGGCACAGCATTACTCTCATGTTTCTGAATTGCTGAACGACAACTCACGTAAATTGTATATCTGGAAAGCAAAACAATATCAACTGTATGCTGTACAATGAAATACTACATACTGTATTATACTTACAACTATATAAAATGCAGCTATTTTTATTGATTTATGCCACACAAGTATCCATAGAACAAAACAATCATGACCTTGTAAAGAAATGTTGTTTAAAAAATTCTTTGTGCTTCTGCCTATGCTGAAATCTAGCAAATGCATTTCTATTCTCACACAGTAAAGACACAGCTGTTATTAAATACACACTACTTTCAAGTCAACAGGTTCTAGGAGCACAGGTATGAGTTTTGGGCACTGGGCAATCCCTATTCCCTTCCAGAAGGACATTTACCAGACAGAGAGTAACAAGGCAAACAGCTCCAGCCACTTCCTGCTGTCCTCTTGAACCACACACATCAAGCACTACCTTATCTCAGCATCTTCCTACCTGTATATGCCAGAGGACCAAATATGAGCAGCATTAACCATTAAGGGGGTGGGGGGAATCAGGTCCCACTTGGTATTTTTCCTTCTGCCTAGGGCTGAAGTTGCTTTTTTTAATAGGCAGGACTGCAACAAAGCCCATGCTGCCTGGGCAGCATCCCAGAGATAGCAGCAAATGAGGAAGCTGCTATTTGCATTTGCTGATTTAAGAGAGGATGGGGGGAGCACAAGGAGTGGGAGACTGCTAAAGTAATTCCCATATTGTCTGCAGGCTGTATTGACAGTGATCATCAGTCACCTGCTCATACTTCCCTCACCCCGGCCTTCAGAGGGAGACCAAAGGTTACACTGGGTCACAGGATCTGGGGGGAAATGAAAAGACATGCAAAATCAAGCTGCCAACCCACTGCATCTGTAGACAGAGTTATCCCCACTAGGCCACATGTTCCAAAAACTAAGACATTTTAATAGTCTCATGAGAACTTGTTAAAATATAACGATGAAGAGAATAGAGAGGAAAAATGCCAAGCTCTGCTTGCAATTACTGCAGTATTTAGCTGGGATATTTACAACCAAAAAAGCACATTTGCCTTTTGAGGATGCTGCTTTGCATCACAAAGGCCCTCTCATTTGCACAAACAAAATCAAGCATTTGTGTCATGTTGCTCATCTACAGAAATATCTGCCACTCCAGTTTCAGGAATGGGATGCATTGCATGGCTTTCCTTTTCAAGTATCTTATTTAGAGCCAAAACCTGTACAAGCATCCTTAATAACTGAAGAACAGAGGTCACACTACACAGATATACTTTACCATAGAAATGTTAGCAACTAAGCAGTGCTTTCAGAGTCCACAGAACTCTAGTCATACTGCCACATTTGTGTGGGCTATAGGTATACAGCCCTTCATGCAACTCACAGCTTTCATACTTTCAAATACTTCTCTTTCAAAGCAGTCTTTGTTTCCCCCCACCCCCCGTCAAAGGGTTCTGTGAGTATCCCAACACCTGTGAGCTTTGCATTTCATGTAAGAGAAACCCCAAATCCTGTATTTTGGACTGCACAACCTGGAGATGCACAGCCACAACTCAGTCCCTCGCTGAAACAAGCAGAGCCACTGCAACCAACTGAGCCCATTTGCATGAAAAGGATCCAAAAGGTTATGCCTCACATGAGGGCCAAATTCTGCTTGCAGAAGCAGAAAAACTTCCCAGTCACAGGTAGAACTGCAAAATTGACCCCAGAATGTTATCTCCGGGATCTCTTGCCAGAATAAGTAACATATTTAAGACAACTGCGAAATCTGAAGCTACTGAAACCTCCAGTACTTGGGAAGGGGATGGAACAGATGACAGCTCAAAAGCCTGAATTCTCATGCAATTCTAATTAGTAAAATTCCCTCAAATAATCAGCAGTGACAGTTTCACTCCATGTTTTTATGGAAAGCAGGGAGAAAAAAAGCTTCAGATTTGTAATATTTAAACATCATAAATCTCCCATTCAGTTAGTGCCACAGAACAGCAATTACAAGACAAGACTTAAAACAACTGATGGGAAATTACACAAAACAAGGTTGGTGCTCACTGCCATGCATTCTGTGAACACAGAATTGCTACCTGAGGCGAAGGTGCCACTTAGGCCAGTAAAAAAAGTAGTTCACTTTTAAAACCAGGTTTTTTTTCAAGAGATAAATTATTCTATTTGTACTGTAGTATTGTTCCTATGCCCTGCCCCCCCACCCCAATATATAAGCCCAATGTTCTTCTGAGAATATAAAAGCCAGGTCCTTCTGTCATGTACAGACAAAAAAAAAAAAAAAAGAGGCAGAGTTTTAGCAACTTACCCTAAATCTATGTGAGCATTCCACAGGAGAAGTAATGGAAACATATCTGCTGAGTTCTACCCTGGAGTTTTAACTATAAAACTAACGTTCTTTAATACAGTCAGTTATTATCATGATAGTTTTGACAACTGGCAAAGGAAGTGGAAAAGATTAGCAATTTTTTCAAAACAGCTTACTGCCAAGGATTATAAAAATTTATGTCCTTATGTCTCAATTGAACAACAGAGCCATACAAAAGTGTAACTATCTGTAATACATTCCACCTCTTTCTAGCTGTTTGGATGACTTCTGGTTATGAGGTAGCTGTGGGATACTAATTGATATGTTGCTGTGATACAAAATCAGGTATAAGTCATTATTCTGCTATCTAAAAAGCTACATCATACTTGGAAACTTCAACACCCACCTTGGCAAGACATGGACACTACAGCTTGAAACTTTATTCTTTCTAGATTTTAGTTTCTGTTACCAATATAATAAAAGAAATAAAAAGTCTCTGTCTTCTGTGAAAATTTTTAGCCTACCTTACAAAGGAATGAAAGGCAAAATGGAGGCTGCCAAGCAATGTAAGACAGAAATGGATGAAAGAAAGAAAAAGCATTCATCTCCCAGTGACCTCCCCAGGCAGCACCATAGCTCCTTCAGTCCTTCAGTCCTTCACCCAGTCTGCAACATCTTCAAGAGGTAGGCAAGCCAGCCCCTACAGAACCAACTACTGAAAATACCATTTAAGATCCATCAAAACCCGCTGCTAACCAAACACTCATCACTTCCAAAAACCCAACTTCTATGAACTAAGATGGGGCAGGGAATATGTGGGATTTGGGGGGGTTACAGGCAAAAGAGAAGAAAGACTCCTGGAAGATCTTTTCAGTTAGTCCCCAGAAACCAAGAACTGTGAAAAGCCAGCTTCTAATCTCATCCTTGAACAAGCATTGCCATTGCAACCACATTAGCAAAAAACCTAAAGCAGACAAACCCCCCAAAAACCCCCTATACTTTGTTGATATTCTGGAAGGAAGGAAGACAAGGAAGAGAGCAAGCAAATAACTCAAACTATCAAAACAGCATCAACTTGAGTTACCTGAAGTAAACTTAGATGTGCTGCTGATGAATCTGTCAATAAGCCCAGCTCTACACATTGGGTAGAAATTTAACAACCTGACTTTTCATTTAATCATTACTGATTCTGCCCTGGATTTGCCATTATTTTTCCCCAAAAAGCATAAACAGGATGAAAGGTGGGCCCAAAATGACACAATAGAATGCAACAAGCTTCCAGGGAAGAAAAAAGACACACAGAGCATGAACAGTACAATGCAACAATTTGTTTTGTCTCAGCATGTGAATGACAGCACTCTGGACATAGCTTATAGCTACTAACACAGATTTGGAAAATATCTACTCAATCACATCCACCAGCAGGGCACCACAACCATTTGCTGAGGCTTGGCACACCTAGGTTGGTAACCCTTCACTGCTTAGTCTCCACAGGAGTAGGGTCTTTTATTACTCAAGCTGCAGGTGGGAGGTCTGTACAGTAGTACAACTTTCTGTTTAGACTATACTGAAATGCCTGCAGTGTCCATAAGACCCAAACAAGAGCACATTAAAAA